GACTGTGAAAAATATCATCGTAAATTTACGATAAATTTTGTAATTAATATTTACATTACAAAATCTGTTGTAAATTTAGGACACCTTAAACTTACTCGTCGATGAGTTCCAAGTCCAAGACGATAGATAGTGCTTGTTATTTTAAAATTTTGCATTGTAATTTTACGACATGCGTCAAGGAAATTTTTCCCGTGAAACGTACTTCATTTTTCACGGAGTGAAGAAATATTGCAAATTAAGTATTCAGATTTATTTGTTACAAGTCTCAGTATTCGCGGCTCATTTGAGCCTGAGCAGCACGCCTGTCTGTGCGCCGCGCGTGCATTGTCGATGCAGCTCGATCTGCTGCCGTCTCGATTGTATCTCGATTTGATTGTGATCACTCCGGATCACTCAGAGCGCGGGTGGCTGGAGCCACAGCGGCCGTTTGGTAGTCAGTCGCGTGTGCACACACACACACACACGCGCGCGCGCGCGCGCGGCTAATAGTAGTCGACCGCTTGCGCGTTGCGCGCTGCGCAGAACTCTGCCGCTTAGAGATGGACAGGATCAACACCGCCACGCCACGCCGCAGAAAACACATGAATTGCTTACCTAAAAGAATTCATAAAAAAAGAAATATGCTGCTGCAACTCATCGCGCACGCGAAGGGAAGTAGTGCTCCGCGGCCGAAGCATGAGCGGGGATTTAATCGGCGAAACGCAAGTGTTGCTTATAGGAGGCTGTAAAATAAAAAGTTTACAGCCTCGGCCGAAATAACCCCCGAACGACTGGCGGCGAATAAATTAGAGGCCACCGCGTCTGCAATTAGGAAACAAAATGAAAATTCGCGCAAGAACAAAATCTCACGGCTAGCGACGGCGGGGTCGTGTGCTCGCGCGCGAATCGCGCGAAAAAGTTTATTATGATTGTTACTGTCAATTTTTCTTTTGGGGCCAGCCGTCGCCTGTCGCTCGGGCGGTTACACGAGTGCGAATCACGCGCTTGCAGTCGACATCAACATGCAGTTCTCCGCCCGTCGGGGCGCGCCGTGCCTGGGGACCGCGGCCGCACGCGGCGGGGCGGGCCGAGGGGAGCGGAGAGAGGGTAATAAAACTGAGAGCCGGGTGTGGAAAAAAACGCCGCTTCTCTGTGAGGGGTGCAAAAAAAAAAAAAAGAAAAGAAAAAAAAGTGTGCGCTAAACTTCCGGCACCAACCGCGGCACGCCCGTTACGGCTGCAATAGTCCTCCTTCTCCCCCGTCCCGCCACGCCGCACGCCGCCCCGCCCTCTGTCGGTCCGACCCGAGTCGTCATAAATTGTTCGATACCGCGGCGGGCACGGGGCGCGCGAATTTAGGGGAATGTTTTCCGGAACTGGAGAATTAGAGTTCCAGCAGCAGCTACGGCGGCAGTAGCAGCAGCAGTAGCGCCCTTGGTGCTATAGTTACAGTAAATGTACGGGACGGGCGCGGGTTTCGCGCTGCCCCACGCGCCGCTAGGGTAGCACCAGGACGGCAACGTAGCCAGAGCAGCGTGCACACGGTAAAAATGGGTGCTTGGTTTCCCAAGCAAAGATTTTGGGGGTTTGCTTTTGAAACCGAGCAATCTGCTTGGGGACCGGTGTGCGCTGTGCCATGCACCGAGCATTTTGCTCGTTGCTGGGTTTTCTAGCTGATTTCTCGATTTCCAAGCAGACTGCGATTTTCAAGCAGATCGCACTGTTCTCTCTCCAATTAGCAGAGGCGCACCCAAGCAGTGCGACCGGTTCGCAAGGAAACCCCCATTCCGCTTGGAAGCTACCACGTCTGCTTGGAGCGCGAAATGTTTGCTTGGAAACAAAGCACCCTCCTCTTTTACCGTGGCACAAAGATAGGCAGACGAACAGAGCCAACGCAGTACGCCGCAGGATGTTGCGTGGGCAACTGCGAGCGCGGGACGCCAAACAAAAAAAAAGAGCGAAAAAGCCACTAAATGCAGTGCGTTGCCACTAGCAGCACGACTGCACTCAATCTCTTTGTCTCCCAACCCCCTTCCAGGGGGGGGGGGGGGGACTTTCTGTACCAAAGGATATGCGTCGGCGCGGTGTTAGGTCAGAGACAGCAGCAGCGGCGGCGGCGGCGGGTAAAGGAGACGAACAAGAAACAGAGGAGGGGTAAGGGGGCAGGGGGCGCTTAGTGTTGCACTGGAATGCCCGCAGCGCCGCGCGCCGCCACGCCACGGCCCGCGGGGTGCAAACGCGCGGAATGTCGGATTACACGCCCCCCCCCCCTCTTTCCCTGCATCCCTCCGCCGCGGGTTATGGCGGGGATTCTCGATCCCCTCCCCCCCCACACCGAGTGCAATTATCATTGCAGTTTCATTGCAGAAGGACAAAACAAATGGACGCACCCCATGCATGCGCGCGCGCAACCCGAGGGGGTTGGGGGGTATGGGTTCTTAGCCCTCTCCAGCCCGCCATGGCCTGTGAGGCTCAGCGACCGGGTCGACAGACAGATATACAGACGACGGGAAAAGGGGGCGGATGGTTGGGCTGCTCTGTCACCACAGCTAACCGAACCGGGGGGAGGGGGGGGGGCGCAGGCGAGCGGGCGGGCCCGTGACCATCAGGCCCTTCCTTTCCTGTCACGAGCTGTAACGTTGTCAGTGTGTGAGTGGGGCAGGGGGGAGAGGGAGGCGGCGGCGGCGGGGGCTTGATGTGGCCCGCACTGGAACATCCGAAACCTCTTAGAGACCTTGGGGTGGCCGCTGGCAGCGCGGCGTGGCGTGGCGTGGCGTGCCAGCGCACCACCACACTACTTCGTGCTGGAGGAGGATGTGGCCATTTTCCAGGATGTCCTACTCGGCGCCACGCCACGCCTTTGCGGTCTAGGCCAGGCCAGCAGCGCAGCTGTCTGCACCCCTCAACACCCTGCTCTTCTCGCTCTCGCTATCTCTCTCTGCGCCTTACTCTCTCTTTCTCCGTTTTCTAGTTCACTTTATCTTACTCCCGTCCATCTCGACACTTAAATGCCTTTCTGCCTTTATTCTGAACGATGCAGGTGTATCTGTCTAATATTGACCTGGAATAATTTGGCATAAAAACGCCTCATTACTAAATACCTGGATTCCCAAATCAGAAACTCATCAAACATATGTTTCATAGTTTTCCAAAACCGTTATCTAAAATTTTTCTCCGTCACCGTTGCCTTATATTGATTTTGGTCATCTTGAGAAAATGAGAAATCCGGAGAAATCAATACGAAAATACTAAACCGATTCGCCCGCAATAAAGCGAGGAGCTATGCATACAGCGAGACGAAAAATCACACGATTCCGGCTTTTAAAACAATCTGTCAGAAAATGCTATTTTGAATATTCTATAGGGTGCCGCGGCCGAGTACCACCGCCCGCTCGACCCTCTTATCGGGTGGCGGTGTGTTCCGCTATGCGACGGTATGCGGCGCTATGCGGTCAGCAGCTCGGCGCTTTGGGACATTGATAAGGAGAGGACCGCGCGCCGTTTTTATGCCCCGCCGTATCAAAGAGTATAACCAGTTCACTTAGCGGGGTGTGCCGTTTATAGCGCGCGGCGCGCTCCGCGGCGGACACGGCCGGCCACCCGACCGGGCTTTACAACCGAGCGAATGCGCTACATCGGCACGCCCCCACGCCGCCGCCGATCGCGAAACGAACACGGGCGCGAGAGAGTGTGGGAGGAGGAGGAGGAGGATGGGGAGGATAACTTCATCGGGGCATAAAAAATATGTAGGGCGCTCCGCGGCGCGGTGCCGGCACGGGGCTCAGCGAGGGCAAGGGGCCGCGCGCGGAAGGGGCTCGCGGGAGCCTTCAGGGGCGAGCAGGCAGGAGTTCGCGTGGGCGTGGGCCGGAATATCTGGTGTGGTGTGCGGGGCGCGGCGGGGCGCGGTGGGGCGCGGCGCTGCCAAGGAACCAATGCAGGCTGTTGCGCATGCTTTACGAGCAGCCGCGCGGGGGCGTGGCGGGGCGTGGCGCGGCGTGGCGGGGCGTGGCGGGGCCGCGGGTGGCTTTATATTTACAACGTGGAGGGCTGTAGATCCCCGCACAACATACTCCTGGCCGGCGGCGGCGGCGGCGCGCGGCCCCGTTCGATATTTAAGATGCCATGCATCAGCGGCAGCAGCAGCGCCCGGGCCAGGCGGACCAGGAGGCCACCTACCAGGCCTGGCAGCAGCAGCTGGGGCGCCAGGCAGGCGGTATGCGGGGGGAGGAGGCGACCAGGCGATGCTGTTTAGAAGGCAGAGCGGGCCGCGTGTGTTTTTGTTTACGGGGGATCTGCTCGCACTGCCCGCGGCCTCACTGACCTGCCTCACGACCAGCACACTCAATAGCTAAAAATAAAAATTAGCTAAGCCGTCTAGTATCCTGAGGCAAATCCGGCTAATCCATTTTCATTTTTTTTTTCGTGGACCACGGCCACTACCAGGGGCAGTACAGTACCAGGGCCACTGGCCTCCTTTACCACGATCACCACACTGTTGTACGATGAGAACGGAATGTCGTATATCGACTTTATCGAGGCAGTCGCCGCTACGCCGCCGCGTCTGGCCGACCGATATCAATATTATATTTTACTCTTTTTTTTTCCTCTCTGCCTCTCTCTACTATTCATTTTCGTGGCCACGGTCCCCGTGCCGCCGCCGCCCCCCGCGCGCCGCAAAGGAAGCGGTGGCGAACTTATTTTTGCTCGTCTGCCTGCCGGCGCGCGGGAAATTGGTTTCATATAAGCCGCTCGGCTCTGGGGTCTCTGCTCTGCTGTTCCATACACTGCACGGGGGACAGGCCGGCGGGGGCGTGGCGTGTTGCACAGCGGAGCTGCATCCAGGCAGCAGGCTGAGCAGGGAGGCCGGGGCGGCGGGGGAAGCCCCTCGGTCGCACTAGCGTGTTGGTCAGGGTGCGGTGGTGTGGCCTGATCAGGCCTGATCCCCCCCGGTGCGTTGTTGCCCCGGCAGAGGCCGCCGGGCCACACTACTGGCAGCGACAGGGGCACATCACACTCATTCACCTGAAGCTGCGGTCCCGCCGCTGCGCTGTCATGTTGTCCCGCGGCCTCCTAGCTCATCACGACTTCCTTGACGGCGTCCTCGGCGCGCCCACACGTGCGGACGGCCCGGTCACATCGCCGGGAACACGCGCACGCCGTGTCCCCCGCGGTGGCACGCGGCCCCCCACCCCGCGGTCGTCCTGTCCTCGCGCGGGTCGCGGGCGCGTGTGGTTCGCGGAGGGTCGCGGGTTGTGCGCGTCGCGGTGTCGAGTCGCGTAACGAGAGAGCGCTGCGTGCGCCGCGTCGGCGTCGTCTGCTCCGCCAGATGCGTCCTCCGCGCCGCACGGCCGGCGAACGACTGAGGCGCGCCCTGGCGGCTGGGCCGGCCCCGGGCCGGCGGCGGGGTGGTGCGGCGCCCCAACCCCCGCCTGCACCCTCCACACTCACCCCCGCCGCGCCGCCCCGCCCCGCCACCACTGATGGGGCAAAACGGCGGGGAAGTGTGCGCGGCGTGGATATGGCCCTTGCGCGCCTGCTGCCCGCGTCTAGAGGAGAAACAGGCAAGAATGACAGACGGAGAGCAGCGAGAGAGAGAGAGAGAGAGAGAGAGAGAGAGAGAGAGAGAGAGAGAGAGAGAGAGGGGAGCGTCCCGCCGCGCCCTGCTGCTCTCTTTGTACAGGGCCGCGCCGGTAAATGGTGGGATTTGTCCGCAAATTGGGTGGAATACGCCGCAATCGAAGGCGGGAATCTAATCACGACGTCTGGGTGTTTGGCGTTGCGGGGCGGCGGGGCGGGCAAGAAGGGGAGAGCCTCGGGCTCGGGAAGGGGCCGCCCTACCTACCCTTTTGCAGCCTTGGCTGTCCCTTTTCCCCACCCTCCTCCTCCCGTGCAGCAGCAGCAGGAATGCACCCGAAAAAAGAAAATGAGGGAAACGAGAAGGCGTTTTCGAACCAACTCGGGACTCTGCAGCGCGCTGCCAGGCCTACGACACGGGGAGCCGCGCTGCTAAACGAATTTGCGTCGTTTGTCGTGGCCGAGTGCGCAGCGGCGGCGGGGCGGGGCGGGGGACAGGGCGGTACAATACAATGAGGGTCTGCATTACCCGCCTTTCTATCTCTCTCCATTTTGCCCTGTCTCCCCCGCCTCTCTCTCTCTCTCTCTCTCTCTTTCTCTCTCATCCCTGTCGCGGCTTTCCTCTCGCTCCCTTCCTCTGCGCGGGGCTAGTGGGGCACCATTGTAATTGGCGCTCTCAAAGCGACGCGTCCGCCGTGCCCTCTGGTCGGCTCTCGCGACATGTTGTGTGTATGTGTGTGTTCGAGAGAGGCAGATAGAGAGAGAGAGAGGGTCGGGCTTTGCACTGCCGCGTACTACTACACTTTGAAAAGAACCACCACTCAACTTCCCGAGGGAACAAGATTTTTTTTCCTTTTTATTTTCTCCTCTTTTTTGTGGGGGGGTCTATTTTAAAAGTTAGACTTAAAGTATCTTGTTTGTACATCTGTTGAGTTGCCATTGTTGGATTTCATCTCCTCCTTTTCGCTGACTTGTGTAATTATTCGAGACATATGGTATTCCCAAGACCCCAAGACCCTTCGCATTTATTTCTCTGAGCAGTCTGCACTACAATAACACTACACCAGTCCCGCAGTGGTCGTACAGTAAACGATATACGCGCCCCCGCCTGTAATGAACGTATCATGTTGATCGTAAAAAGGCGGGCGCCCCCGGGGAGAGGGAAGGGTCACACCGTCGTAAAAAGTGCGTTCTGCAGAGACGCGGGGAGTTTGACGACTGACTCTCCCCGCCCGACAGAGGCGTGGCCGGGATTTGTGCGAGGAAGAGAGCACTGCGATAGGGAGACGGACAGACAGCGGGCAAAGGGCAGAGGGTCAAACATCATGGAATCATTTGCTGAAAATAATGACGAAAGAATTTGAGTACCGCGTGGTTTGTAGTTGTTTTGTGGTGGTTTTGCTTGTGTCGTGTCGGCAGTGCCCTGACGAGGAGGAATACGCGGGGGCGGGGGAGTGTCGGGTGTGGGTGGTGGTGGGTGACTAGGAAACCAGCCCAGCGCCGTCCCAGGCCTATGGAGGCCAGGCCAGGTGAGTCCCCTGGAGCAACTCGAGCCGGGCGCCACGCGCCGCCACGACGGCGCTACTGTATCACAGACTACCCCCGATCGGATCGGGTGCAGCAGACAGTCAACCACTCCCGGGTTTCTAGTTCAGGAGGCTTCTCAATGGTAGAGGTAAGGAAGGGGGGGAGAGGAGGCAAGCGTACACCACTCCAACCTACCCCCCA